AATAAAAATGTTCATTGTGATAAATGAAATAATAATTTGATCTAAGTAAGAGTTTATTACTTCCCGATTTGTAAAAAATCTTTACGTGATAGAAAAAAATATTATTTTCGAAATCTGCGTAGCTGAATTGTGGAAAATCTATTATTAAAACCAAAACAACTTTTATAGAGTTTAAATTCGCAGGCCTGTGTAATTTAACAAAAATAAACTAAATTTAATAAGAAATAATATTAAATTGAAAAATAATCTTTTTTTTTTGTATAATGAATACCAAATGCAAAAAATAGATCTAGAACTAGTGAAAGAATATCTGATATGCGTTTAATATAACAGTATAATAAAACCAAACTTTTTATTTTTCAGTTCAAGACTATTAAAGTGACAAATACACAAACAGCCAACGACTGTATACGAATGATTAACCAAGAGTTTGGAGAAGAAGTAAGACTCCTTATTATAATTGCTATGAAATATAATTTTTAGTATTAAATTTTGAATTATTTCTTAGGATGTGTTTAGGTTTATCTTTACACTATGATTATTTGCCTTAATAGATTGTTAGGTTAAAAGTGCATACCAGGTTTAAACGTTCACCAAAAATTGTGAAAACAACAACAAAAGAAATATATATATAAGAATTTAGCGTCGAGAAACCACATTCATTGCGAATTATGATGGCCTTAAAAGTTACACCACTATCCACGATTTTCAACCAATCACAACACATTAGCTGGCAATAGCATTTTGACCAGTCACATCTTTTCTTTGTTAAGAAATAAAATAAAAAGTCACATTATGTTTTTTGAAAATCGACTAGTACTTTAGATATTTTCAAATGCACAGAGTGTCAGATATACGATCTAAGACAAAGAAACTATCTTTATTTCTATTCTTTTAGATTTATAATGTGTGTACTACAAAATGTTCAAACCACTGTTGTGATATACATCATTACAGAGATACAATAATTTATATCTTATTGCTGTATTACTAATCTAAACTCTGTGGTTATGAAATGACTCTTTATTTCAGCATTTACTGATGTAATGAGAAATGTTTTACTAAAGCCATGCTAAATATATACTTTCCCTATTAGATGGTCAGTTTGAAAGACTCTCAACTATGGGTGAAAACTGGGAAGGATGAAGCACCCTATCCACTAATTGGTTAGTATACAGAATCTAGAAATATTTTACAATTTTTTAAAAATCTTAAGAATTTGAGTTAAATTATTTTCATCCTGTTAAAACTAGTGTTTTAGGGATTAGAGCAAGGTATGTTGGATGCTGTACTCGACCTTAGGTAACTTCAATAGAAATAGTATTCTTACTGTTTGAAGAATGATAATTCCAGCAACATCTTAAGAATGACGAATGAGGGCAGTTAAAATGTCTATAAGTGTAAAAATATTACTTTAGCTGGGAAATATTGACATTCTTAGTATCAAAGTTCCAACATTTATTTGAAAAACAACAATTTTTACACACAATAATGTGTGTAAAAAAAGTTCTGAGTAAAACTTTAAAATGTGAGTGTAAACATTTAGAAGAAAAGTTAAAACTTCTTGTTTTTTGTGAGAAACATTTAACATTGTTACATATTATTTGAGCAATTATTTTCCTAAACTGTTGCATAAACTATGAGCTTTGATTTAAACTTTAAATATTCATTGGAACAAAGACTCCCAGTTGGGATGAATGCAAGCTTATTACAGTAGGTGTAAACACCTGTCACTGTGGGGACTAAACTTACAATAGTAACAGATAAAACCTTTCATTATGGGAGTCATCTGCAGGAGATTCGATATTTTTATAAAGCAATTCATGAGTTATGGCGTCATTACTTAGAATTTTAAATAAAGGATTAAGATTTATTTTTAGTACACTTTCAATTAACTTGATAAAATTGTTTAAATTTAAAGTAATCTTAAACACACACAAACAGTCTTGTTTTCAGGTGAAACCATAATCTTACTTTTATGAAACCTAAGTAATGAAATCAGGCATATAATGAGTGAAATGTTGATTGTAAGCTTTTTATAGTTTCTTTTTAATGCATCATTTAGAGTCAAGCAAAATCAACTATACAATAAAACAAATAAAAACAGCAGTTACTAATGTAATTTCTAACCTCTGCAGCCACATGCAATTATTTTTATATTTTGACCATACTTAGGACACGAATATCCATTTGCAATCAAGATGAATTTCGTGAGGGACTTGCTTCAGCGCTCAACCCTTGACCTTCAAAATTTCAATAACGTCAGTTCGGACACAAAATGTTTATTTATCCTACGAGGTTCATCAGCTCATAAAGTCACAGCTCTAACAGGTAAAACATCAGACTTTTTATTTAATAAACATACTAGAAGTTGTTCAGTGTGCATCATTACAGTTAGGTAAGACATCTAGTCCATTTAATATGTTTTATCTGTTAAATTCAGTTTATTCTGTTGTATGTGAATATGCACTGAACAGTTGTTAGACAGCTAAAGTCAGCTTGGCCTCTTTTGTGTGTGTGTCTATCCACTAGAAAGTAATTAGGCAGCTAATGTCAAATTGTTCTATTGTTTGTGTATATATGCACTGGACAGTAATTACATAGCTAAAGTCAACTTGTCTGTTCTGTGTACAGTGGTTAGACTATTAAAGTCAATTTGGTTTCTTGTGTGTGTGTATGTGTATGTACATACAACAGTGATTAGACAGCTAAAGTCAACTTGGTCTGTTTATGTATGTATACATTCACTGGACAGTGGTTAAAAAGCTGAAGTCAACTTGATGTTTAGTATGTCTACAGGATAATAGTCGTGGGTGTAGTATGTGTATTAGATGATGGCTAGACAGCTAGGATCAGTTTGAATGTAGTATGTGTATTGGATGATGGCTAGACAGCTGGGATCAGTTTGAATGTAGTATGTGTACCAGATAATGGCTAGACAGCTAGGATCAGTTTGAATGTAGTATGTGTATTGGATGATGGCTAGACAGCTGGGATCAGTTTGAATGTAGTATGTGTACCAGATAATGGCTAGACAGCTAGGATCAGTTTGAATGTAGTATGTGTATTGGATGATGGCTAGACAGCTGGGATCAGTTTGAATGTAGTATGTGTACCAGATAATGGCTAGACAGCTAGGATCAGTTTGAATGTAGTATGTGTATTGGATGATGGCTAGACTGCTAGCATCAGTTT